CAGTAGCCGTGACATGTGGTTCCACCACCCCTCGTATGCTTTGCCTCTGACCGCCACCGTTCCCAGGCTGCCAAATGGGATGGAAAGGAAGGCTCGGCGAGCGTATAGAAGCGTGCTCGACCTCGTCGTGGCAACCTGCACGGCAGCGCTGGTAGGCGCGATGAGCGTCGTGCCACCTGACCCGAGACGGGTCGCAGGCGTCGTACCGAGCGCGTCGAGACCGTGTCCTGATGTGATCTGCACGGGTGAGTCACGTCGGCGTCAAAGGAGCGACGTGCGACCTGTCAGAGCTTGATCTCCGATCTCAGCGGCGTCGAGTCGTCTCCGGCGCGCGACAAAGGTACATCCCCAGGACGCGCAGAGGCAGCTGCGATCCAGCGGAGTGGACGGTAACGCACCGCGCCACCTGCTGTGCGTTACCGTCCACTCGGCGGGGTCGCAGCTGCCTCTGGAAGGCACCCAGATGTACCTTTGTCGCGCAAATGGTCAAATCAAGGTTTTGTAACGCGAGCTGTGCCACAGTGAAATGGAACTAGCCAAAGAAACCAGTACCTCATCAGGCTTCCCTGAGCGTCACAGCTCGGTGATCGCGCCGGCCGGACACCACTGTACGGGGTGTGGACCGTGAGTTGACCAGGGGTTGATGTGCGCCGGGCCCTCCTGCTTGGCTCCAGCCAGTAGACAAGTCTTGTCACTAACAGAGTAGAAGGATCTGACCTCGGGGCCGATGTGACCAAGCGCTGGTAGCGTGGTTTTACCTCACACCCATGGTCTCACAGTGTGCCGGCAGTCGCCGAGCAGTGTTAAGCCGTTTAAGCCGCAGGCGCCCCAGGGCCCACCCTTTTAAGCCTAGGGGTACCCTAAGCCATCTCTGCTGTGAATAGAGGGAGAGTGCTGCAGCGTTGGAACCGTAGCTCGGCGCCTCGCCCTCAGCAGAGCGGGCGAGAAACGCTGAAGCTGTTCGCGCCACATACCCCCCCGCCTGTGGCAGACCTGCTTGGGGGTATGGTAGGGCCGCTAGTCTTGGGCGGTCAGGACCATACCCCCACCCCTTTGGGCCGCCGATGCTACCATACCATATCTAGATACCCCGGAAAAAGTTGGAACCCTGGCCGCTCTGGCGGGCTCCGAGGTATTTTAGTGCGCCTGGTGGCGAAATAGAATTTGAAGATTGCGCGAAAAAAGAACAAACAAAAACAAGAACCGAAAAGAACAAGGAAAAGAAATCGTGGGGCAAAGAATTTTCGCGCGGAGCCCTCTGCCTCTCTTCGAGAAAGAAGTTCCCCGCTGTCGAATGGCCCAGCCCCGGGCCGCTGCACACCAGGGTCCGGCGAGACGCACGCAGCAGTTGCAGCAGCGTGTCGAGCTTGCACGCACGCGCGCCCGGGTGGTCGCACCACTCGCTCGCCGTCAGCCAGCTCGAGATGGGTCGAGTACGTGGCGGCGACGAGGTCGCTGTCGACGCAGATGCGCTGCCGCCGCCTCCGGCACGCGGGATTGTGCTGCCGCCGGCACTGTCGGCCATTCGTAGCGGGAGCTTGCGCTTCGAGTGCCAAGTGCGCGCCGGCTGCATGGCAGGGCCTTCGTAGGCGCGGCCGTGCATGAAGAGCGGGTGCTCCGCCGAGTCGAGGCACGGAACGCGCCGCAGCGTTGCCAGCGTTGCCTCGCGAAACGTTGCGCATGGAGCGCCGCCCGGCGGGGCAGCGGCCACTGCCGGCGCCTCTCCACTGGCAGCACAACCGTTTGCCGCCGCCGCCGCCGCTATCGCTTCCGCTGCCTTTGCTTCCGCCTCGCGCGCCTCGCCTGCTGCATTCCACTTGACAGCCCAATGGAGCTGCGCTACGAGGCCCGTAAGAGGCATCGCGGCATCCTCACCCCACCGGGCGGCAGCGGCCGCCACGCACGCAGCCACGTCTTTCGAGAGGGTCCCGCTCGGCTGCACGTGCAGGGCGTGGCAAGCTAGGTCAGCGAGGGCGCGAGGCTCGGCCACGTCGCGAGCCATATATGCGTGCGACTCGGGTCGGCGGACGTCGGTTACGGCCAAGAACTTTTCGGAGTTTCTATCGGGCAATTCTATCGGGCAAGAAGGCGCCAAACCCCAAACGGCAACGGGCAAGCCGCACGAAGAACTCGGCGATGCCGCAATGGTCAACCCGCGTGCGAAGCACGCGACAAGACACAAATACCTGCTCAAACGACTCGTCAAGACCCTTCGCTCGGCGTGGGGCATGCTCATCGAGATGGAGCCGACTGCACACCTCAGTTACAGTAACCCAAAACAACCTAACGTGGCGGCGGCGAACATCGGCAAAGGGCATGTGCGCCTCGTTGGCGACTTGAAACTTACGAGCTCGCTTGCGTGCAAGGGTGGCGATCGGCTCGGCTGGAAGGGGGCTTTTGTCGCCTTCGGCAACACCGAGCGGGCGCTGCTCGACTTAGTGTTAGGGCATGCTGCATGGCCGCGGCCGGAGGGGGGGGGGGGGAAGGGGGGTTCCTCCTCCTCCTCGTCCTCTTCCTACGCAGCATTGCAT